TCATAAAGACATTATCTCTTTTTATTATTATTATAATAATAATAATAAAAAACCCATATATTATTACCCAAAATTTCCCGAAAATCGAGAACTTTGTTGACTCCACCAACCCCTTTTACAACTATCAAAAAAAAGACCAACCTCTGTTACACCTCAGCTTTTGTTTTGGCCAATCAAAACATGTGACATGTCAGCCTTAAAACTCGAATAATTGGAACAGGGTTTGAGAGATTTGGTGGCCAAAACAAGGCAAAAATGGAATATTAGTCCTTCAACTTTTCAACTTTAGTGAAATCTCCCATTATACAATTTCTTGTTTAAATTATTCTTTTGCTTTTTAGGTTAAATGAAATTACTCCAAATTTAACATATGTAGTTGAAACACATTATAATTCCATTTGTTAACATTATCATTTCATTAAATTTATTATTGGTTGTGCAACAAATTATATATATAGTTTGCAAATGTCAAAAACAAAATGATGAGTTTAGCAATTAAATTTGAGATAATATAATTATTTTTTGAGAATAGTGCATATTCGCCTTACCTCCTAAAAATTAAAATGAAAATTATCTTAAAACTACGTCATCTTAATAAATTTTCATTAAAAAAGACTAAAATACCCTATTTTTAAACAATAAATTAGAGTATTTTTTGTCATTTCATGTAGTATTTTATTAAAACTATGTAATTTTAGAATAATTTTCTTCTTAATTTTTAAGAGGTAAGACGGATAAATACTAATTTCTTATTTAAAAAAAAAAGTAAAGAGAGGTGAGATTTCATTCATTAGAAAAGCAAGAGGAGCAACCTAATTCAAAAAGAAGTATAAAGCCATTCTATTGTAGTACAGTGCGTTATAGATGATATTTTCTAACGTTATCTTTAATAAAAGGGGTGATTTGTGGATTTCGTATAATAAAAGGGGTGATTTGCACTGGTTTAAAGTTGAGGGGCTGACATGCCACAACATTGTAAGTAGAAGGGCTAAATTGCACCTTCTGCCATGCCAGGGAGTTGTATAAGTGCTCATTACTACAAATCAAAACCCTCTTTGGTCGCAAAATAGTTTTTTATTTTTCTTTTTTCAATTCTATTTTTATTCTGCATTAACTGTCATTTTTATATTTTTAACGTCTATTAATTTTTTCTTTCTCATCTTAAACCACTAACTTCCAATGTTAGGTATGAAGTATCAAGTACATATTTTCCAAAACAACTCCTTTGACTTCAATGGTAGGTCTAGATGTGTTCTTTTTTCTGTAGCTAAAACTGTTGACAAAAATTATAATTTATAGCACCCTTGCCGTTGACAACCGTGCAAATTTTGCTTTCCCCTGAATCATAGCCATTATTTTCCATGCATTCCTGGAACAATAGTACTTAAAGTGTAATCTTTTCAAAAGAAGGATGCCATAGGAATAGGTGCCATCAGATTCTTCTCTCTGCTCAAGTTGCCCCACCCACCTAACCATAAGAAGACAGCGAACCCACTACTCTGCTGCTGTTCACCCACCTACCATGATCAGTTTTTAAGATGCGGTTAAACTACGATTTGATGGTTAGAGTGAAAGATTGAGTTCTTGAGAAGTTTTAGATTTGAATTTTCATGTCTTTATAATAGAGTTGAATATGAAGATAATGTTCTTTGGATCTCTATGTTAATACTAGTAAATATGAAGATCTGAATGCAATATTTCCCAAAACCTAATCCCCATGAACTCATTGACATATCACGATACCCTACAAGAATATAAAACAAAAAATTATTAACATAATACACATACATACAGGTTTCCTCACATGCTTTTTAATTAAATCTCTATTTAAATAATCTTTAGCATTATTGCATAGCAACAACAATATATTATCAACTTCTCAAGACATAACATCCTACAAAAGAGCCCTACAAAGGTTTTTTGATATTAGGGGAGGGGAGATTCAAACTCATATATTTTGAAAGGAGAACATGCACTTTTACCTAATTGAACTATAAGTTTAGGTGCAACCTGTGAAAGATTTGAACTTGATTATATTTGCATAAAAAAGAGTCGAATTTACTTGAAGACTGACCACTAATGAAGTGCAACTTAATAATTTTCCCCTACATGGAGACTAGGAAAAAAAAAAAACTAATGTTTAATGAGGCAGTTAAGATGGATACTGCAGACCATGTCGCCTTTCTTAAATATAAGGCTAAGGAAAGATCTGATGCCCTTGAAATTCAACACAATTTTAAAGATATCACAAGTTGATCTGTGATGACACTAATAATCCAAATTAAATTATAATTATAAGGCCCTGCCATACTTCAGGAAACTAAGCAAAATTGCCATCATGACTGATTCCTTATGATGTAATCTGAACAGATCTAAGTTATAGTAACTAAGACTTGCTCAACTACCATAATTAATGATAACATGATTGAGCAGTGGATAAGATCCGCGTCCAGTGGTGGACTTTGTCTTGCTATTTGAATTTTGAAAGTGTGACGGGTACCAACTCTATAATTTGAAAAACATAATCTCAATATTAACACAGTTTAGAGGGTGGGGACTCAGTTATATGTAAAAGGAATTTTCCTTTGATGACAAGCACCCTCAATAGAAAGTGAACAAATTCACAAGCCGTGACCTTGCTGTTCTGTTCCCTTCTCCACATTCCAGCAATCTAATTTGATTATCAAAAACAAAGTATAGAATAAAACTGACCTGAGGCTGACTTCACAATCTCTTCATATGGTGGTAAAGGCAATCAAGAAGACAACAACCTCCATGGGTCAGAATCTTCACAATTTAGAGTATAGTTTTCACATGGTCAATAGTGAAAAATGCAACAGAAGTTGAACCCCCAAGATTTTGGCATCTAACCTTGCCTATTAAAGCTATCGGAAGAACAGCCTAGTAGAAAAACAATATCTTAGGCTGCAACCAGCACCATAATAGGGCAATCTGTTGGCCCTTCACCTGGCTTTCTGTTGTATTCCTGACTGAGTTCTTTAGGCAAGCATCCAGGGGCTAGTGAGAAGAGAGGTAGGAGATAGGTCAAAAGGATAATAGACATCCAATCAAGTAACCATGTTGATCAGTTTCTGTCATTGCCTCCCTATGATTCTTCTCATTTTACCTCAAATAATTAATCAGAATAAAAAATGATCTCAAGAATTCAAGATATCCCAACTTTTTTGCATGAATGCAGGCAAAGGAGCAGCCAATTCTAGACTTTCCATTTTTGAAAGATCATAGTCTGAAGATTGCAGACTCTGCAAAGCCTTTGATACGTTAGGCAGAATCATTTTCTTACAATGAAGATGTAGCCTGGGATGTTTCTCACAGATACTTCCACTCTCCAAATTGAGGCCAAATGGACGTGAGTTTTCCTTTGCTGAATTCTCATTTGGGTCCTCGTCAATATTAGACAATGGGAAATGTTGCCACTTTCTATGAGCTTGCCATCCATATTTGTAGTCCCCAACAATGGGAGTTCCTAGTACCTCTGCACAGTGTACACGAAGCTGTGGTACCAGCATCTTGTTAGATACAGTCTACAGAAATAAATTTGAGTGAGGAGAAAGGAGAAAGACTCTAGAAATAATGAAAGAATTTGCATTTGATGCATACCTGGTGCTTCCTACCAGTGAGAGGAGACAGCTCTAACCATGTGTGACCTGTATCAGTCATAAGAAAATATATGTAAGGCAAAAGTTACACCAAACAATTTCTATCACAAAAATGAAGATAGCCAAAGAAGTTGTTCAAAACTGTTCATATAGACAATATGAGCCTAAATGTGAATGTGATAATTTATTGGGAAATTGCTAATGGGAACTAAAAACTATGAAGGAAAAGTCTTTCAAATAACTCCTTTAGTTGGATGATAAGATTGACATATGTCTAAGATTGCAAGAAAGGTACTAAGAGAGCAGAAACGTTGCTTCTTAATACAGTAAGGACAACAAGAAAAAGGAAAAATGGATGGTTTCTGAGGCTCTAAAAGCTATAGAATTAAACATAAATTTTCTTGAAATTTTAAAAAATGAACTTAATTCTAACACAGCACTCAGAGTAGATGGGCAAGATGTGTTTGAAAATATTTACTATTCACAAGGGGTTCTTCTAGCCAGAGTTTACCATCTAGGCATGTGAAGGTCATCTGAGAATCCCAGGGGCCTGGGTCAAATATGTTTGAATGTAAATGAAAAAGGCATAAGCAACAAAAATATGACTTAGTTCCCACATATGTTTAGCCTTAAGCTCTATACTGTATGACTTAAATATTTAAGTCAAGTTACCATGAGAGGTTGATTTAATGACTTGATATTCTGTTATTGCATGCTGAGATGGTATAGTTTGGGTCTTGTCAATGACAGTTATTCTTTCAGATTTTCCATCATCTACCACCACCTGAAGAACATACGCCTAGCAACTTTCAGCAAATAGAGGCAGAAGAAATGGTGAACAGCAAAAACTCCAAGAAGATAAGATGGAAGAAGAATGAAACATAAACTACATTTAATAAGAATCAAACAAGATTTGGGTGTGAACAATTCCAATGGGCCAAACTCACCACCCTTGGGTGGAGATTTGCTGAGTAATTTGCAGGTACCACTTATTAGTGGATTAGATAGGTCAAGGGTATTCAAAAAATAAACATTCATTAAGAATCAAAAGTATTCTGACCTTCCCTAGTGATGCTGAAATAAACCCCTTAGGGCGTTGGGGAGACCCAATAACAAGTGCCCAATACCGTTTTTGCAAGATCCTTTCATTTCTGTCAATGTCCTTAATAACATAAAAAAAAACAAAAAACAAAAAACAAAAAACTATATTTTAACTCCAAAGTCGACTAACAATACTTCAGTCCTACTTTGATATCAAGCAACCATATAGAAGAAGGAATAGTTACATCTTTTGATGCACTGGATGTTTTCTCACGGAAGATGGAATGCAAGACTATTGCACTTGTTTGTGTTCTTCCCATAACCAATATGCCACTACTATCTCTGTCAAGCCTGTGCACCTAATACACACACACACACACACACACAAATGTTAATGACAACAGATAGGTTCAGAAAATTGACCCAGATAAACGAGTACCCTAATACAATACTTAGAACCAAACTCCATCAATCAAATGCACGGTATGAAGTCTCAATGCTGGTTGGAAGTTGACTGTTAGCTTTCTCCTAGAAATTATGCAGGCAAGTGATCCCCCTTCCCACCCCACCCTTTCCTCCAGAAGAGAGGATGGCTACATGTTTAGAAACCTGTTTTAGTTTCTGTTTCCCCATGTCTACCTTTTGTGCTTTAAAATGCTTGGCTCATTTGGCAATTGAATTCAGGACTAGTTCAACGAAGGTAAACAAATTAACAAGAACCTTAAGAAATAAGCAAGATGCTGCTCAATAATGGCCTCTTGTGAAGTTACTACATTTCTCCTTCCTATATGAACCGTTTTATAATTAATCAATAGCCTCTTATTGGAAATGGTAGCACAGGTTTTTGGTTTGCAGAACTAACATTTATATTTGTAAGTTGGGGATTAAAAATCACACACAATCACATTTAGGAATCTGGTGGATGGATTTATAAAATAATTTCTGTTGAACACTTGAATTTACAAGGAAACTCACCAGTCGGGGAGGTTCTGAGTGATCATATCTTAGACAAGTTGCTGCCAGTTCATCTAAACTTCTTTTAATGCCAATGCCGCCCTGTTTAAATTTTAAACCAAGCATCAGAAAATTTGGAGAAAAAAAGGAACACAATCAAAAGATGTGCAACATTAAAAAAAAAAAAAAAAAGAAAGAAAGAAAAGAAATGAAGATTTGATAGAGTACCTGAACTGGCATACCTGGAGGTTTATTGATAACAATGACTGCAGAATCCTAACATCAAATTGGACACTAAGTCATAAGTTAGAAATGAGATGGCACAATATTTACATACCAACTTAAGACCAACTAAATTAACAACCTTATAGAGTTCCAGGCTACGGATAAAGTTCACTTCTTCTTCTGTGCAATGCCCTTCTTGTTTCTCATGCAGCTCCTGATTCTGAGCATGCGAATCCTGGACGCTAATAGGAAGAAAGATTCTATCTCCAATGTTCAACAAGTCCTTTGCTGACACCTTTCCAGTCGTTTTCAACAACAAGAAATGCACTTCAACAATAACCCATATCAACAAAGAAACCAACAAACAGCTATAATCAAAATTTACCCTTTTAAGTTGGCTACTCTCCACAGTGCAAGATTCTCTTCGAACCTGCATATGAATTGAAAAGATGCGTACTTTACATACAACGCAACAACTTTTGGTTTATTGCTTCCAAAATTTACAAGGAAAGAGGGAATACAGCTAAATTAAGAACCGCGTTAATTTGGCAAAAAAACGAAAGAAAAACCTGTCTTAAACGAAATAGCTTGTGCACTAGACTTCTGGGCAACTCCGGGCAGCACCGCAGGACCCACTTAAGCGCGGTGGTCTCAGTACCGGCTTTGGCTCCTCCAGAAGCGTTGGCGGCGAGTTGTCTTCCAATTGCGGCGCCATTGACGTGTTTAGTAAACGGGGGTAGCGTGAACCATTTGCCTCCACTTTCCTTATTACCATTTGAACCTTCAATTTTCCGCCGGCGGAATGAGTCGGTGGTAGTGGTACTGTACTCAGCCGGGTGAGCGTGGAAGACTGATACAGAAAGTCCAGCGACACGTCGCGCGGTGGATAATTTCGAACGCAAGAGGCGGAGGAGGCTGGCGTCCACCAACATCACCGCTTCCGCAATCGAAAATTTTCTCGGGGATTTTGGTAGGGTTTTAACTTTTTATTTAAACGTTTATTTGGTGATCGGTGCCGGTGAAGGCTGCTTTCCCGGTCACCGGTTAATTTTCTATATTGGATCCAATGAAGCCCAATCCATATCAGATCGGGCTTCTACTGTTTGTCTTCTTGTATAGGTGTTTTTTTTTTTGGGCAGAAGGTCTTCTTGCATAGATGAAATATTTTATTTTGGACAGAGAAAGGTGAACTGAAAAATGGAAGTGTTATTTAAAAAATAAAAAAAGAAACAAGAAAAAAGAAAAATAAAAGTGTTTTAAATGTAGTTTGACTTATGAAATTATTAAAATATTTTAAAATATTTTTATTAAAATTATTTTTTGTGTCTTTATTAAAGAAATTTAATAATTAAATATGTTAAACTACATTTTTAATGTGCAGTCTAACCTATAAAATATATTTTTTTGGAAAAAATGTACATTTAATTATATATAGTTTGAAAAATGTATTTTTTGTATAGTTTAATAGTCAAAATATCATTAAACCAACTTGTAAGAACTTCAAGATTAATTTATTTTTAATTTAATAATGTAAATCTTTTACGTTAAAATTAAGAAATTCATAAAAAGACCTCAAAATTAGATAAGTAGAGAAAGGATGTATTGGTCTTATAAGCAGGGTGAACCAATTAATTTGTTCCAATGGAGATTTCAGTGTAATTAATAGGCAATTTTGGGGAGGTTTTTTAACGCGCAACAGATCTTTAGATGGCGTCGGGAGGTGTTAGATCAAGCAGATTTCCGAGAAAGCACTATGCATAATGACTTTGGGGTGGGGAGTTTTATTATCATCACCTTGAGTTGGGTGATTCATGACAAATTATATATCACAAAATAAACAAAGGAAGAAGTGATGGAGAATCTTGAGGGTACACTAGTGATGCCTGCCGTTTAATTCATCCTGTCCAAGTCCCACTTCCCGGCTCGGACCAGGGTCTTGACGACCATCCTCATGCGGTGCGCTTCTACGTTTGTGTCCCGGACCAAGAGGGCTTGGCCCAGACTCCTTGATGTTCTCAAAAGACAATCTGCCATATGATGAACCCTTCATTCCTCCCATCTTCAGTCCCCTCAGTGGATATTGTGCATCAGTTTCAGAGATCATATTGTTGAGGCACAAAAAGAGAAGGAAAGCAACAACAATAACAGATCTTATTTGTTCTCCAGCCATTTTGAGTACAAGCTGTGGATTGCAAAATGGTTTTTCCATGTGAAGTCTCTTATATAATGATTAGATATTTGGTGAGTGATCTATAACTTTAGTCAAAGCATTCTGATTTTGTTTTTCATTAATTGCAAGTATTTCCAAGGTGATTGCTACAGTTTTGATGCATGTAATTTTTCATCTATTAACTATTATTCTCTTATCATTTTAGTTTAAAAAGTTTAATTTCTCTCAAATTCATCTACAAACTTTGAAAGTCATATCAAATTCATTTATCTAATAAACTTCCATTATTTTTTTAACGGAATCCCATGTTAGTGTTTATGTGGCCCCTGTTAGCACTGTTGGCATATGTAATTTTGAAAAATTTTACTTTAACTCCAAAAATTTCACTAAAATTTTCAATTAAATTTTATTTTCATTGGCTATTTGTTCGTCTTCTTCTTCCTTTTTTTTTCCCATTTGTTTATCTTA